GGGGGAGGTAGTAACAGTGATGGCCTTCTGTTTTTCATGGCTCTCAGCTTGAGAGGACTCCAAACTACTGGTTTCCGTAGTAGTGCAACAGCTGCTGGATGCCTCGCTGCTCTGACTGAACCAGCTAATGTCGGGGGACTACCCATGAACTTGCTGCTTCTCCTCATTGTGGTTGGTGTTGTCTCTGCTTCCGACTTCAATTCAGGCATTGGGGAGAACAACCTTGAGTACCGTGCCCTTCGTGGATCCCTTGCGAACGATGGTCTGTCACTGTTGGATAGAGAGGCAGAGGTGTGGAGGGGTGTTGTCATGTGAGAGCTTGGCTCAGGGCGATAGGTAGCAATGGAGACGCGTCTCTTAGGCTGAAGAACCTGTTGTGTTGTTGCAGTTGGAGGTCTGACAGCAATGGAGATTCTTCTCGGTAAAATTAGGCTTTTCTGGTTTCTTCCTGCTAGTGCTGTTGTGGAGATATTTTCTTTGCCTCCCACTGAAGATGGGACGGAAGTTGTAGAGCTGGTTTTTTTGGGAGGTAAAGCAGATGAAGGTGGGGGCATGAAGTTGGAAATTCTTCGCAGAGGTAGCCTCTCTCTTGGAGGAGCCAAAGGTGGCTTCTTCTCTGCAACAGTTTTCTGGGCTCCTTGTTTCCGGAATGATGATGCTGAAGACTGATGAGAAGCAGCTGCAAAAGCTCTAGTCTCCTGTTTCAGCCTGGTCTTCCTTTCCTCAGCCAACTGGTTCTCAAGGTCTCGATTCTACCAAAAAACTTCAGTTATGTAACAATGAACAACAAGAAGTTCAATAAATCCCATGAGTTGTCATCTTGAAGATAGATTACCTTTTCTTGTAGACTTCTGCAAATGTGTTCCCTCGCAGCAAGCCTCAACTGCAGAGACTGTATGCAGTCCTGTAGTTTCTTGGTTTCTTTCTCGTCATGTTTAGCCTTCTCAGCCTGTTAAATTGGATATTAAAATTTTTGTAATTTGAAACCAAGATAAACTAGAACAAAAGTATACTTTAACTTATAACACGTACCATTTGTTTGTACTTGAACAGCTCACTGAGGTCTGCCTGTTTGCGAGCAGGGCCACTCTCTATTCCCCGCACCCGGCTGGCAAAGTTCAGTGAACACAGTGTCTCTCCAAGATCTGAGGCACTTGGGCTGATTTGGACAAACATCAAGGTTTTGCAATCTCCTCCTGCAAATCAAATTTCAATTAAAATCATGCATGTATAACCAATTTATAGGAGCCACTCACATTGAAGTGAAATATTACTATAAAGGTTCACCTAGAGAACTCTGCAGCATATGAGTAAGCTTTGAATTCCTGGTTTTTGCAAAAGAAGAGAAGTTTAGATATGGTAACCAAATCTTTGTGTGTGTGTGTGTGTGTGAGAGAGAGAGAGAGAGAGAGAGAGAGTTGCCTGTAAGGAATGTGGGCTGTTTTAGATGCAAGGGATGAGATAACATCGCCAAGGGCCGACAGAGATTTATTTATAAACTGAGATTCCTTCAGTCTTTCACCTTCAACATCAATCCTCCCCATACGCTCACTGCCAGCCAAGTCTACGAGCCACAGTTGACTCCTTGTCTTTTGCCCATTTATCAAGTTCTCCCCCTTCACTGTCACCCGCAACAAGCTGCAGAAAACAAATTTTCACTGAATGTTGAATGAAACCATAGAAAGAAAAATTGGTTGCCTCATGTTTCTTTATATTCTCCCTGATTTGAAACATTCAGTGTATGCGTGCCTCAGCATTTAATTTAGACTCTGACAATGAAGACATTAAGGAGATTACGAGCATGAAAGTTACCAGTGAGAGCGGCTGCTCTGCTCGTTAGCACTGGTAGATCCAACAGATCTAGCTTGGCTTCCAGACTTTAGCAGTTCCCACATCTCTTCAAAGCCATAAACACGCTCTTGAACAAGTCCTGGAACATCTAAGGTTCCGTCTGCACATTGCTTTATTTCCAACCTTTGAACAGATAAACACAAAATAAGTACACCTATCATGAATCAACATTACATATCCTCCAACTGAGATTCTTAAGATTGCCAATAGATAAACATAAAAAAGGTCGGACCTTTTAAAAAAAATGCATTTGAACTTGTTGAAGTGTTGGGAGTGGTGAAGATCAAATATAACCTATTTGTACAATTCTCTACACTAATTCCCAAGTAAGGATTTCAATTGTCAATCAGAGGGCAATTTGGTTCAACATCTTAAGAGCCCAAACTGTGTGTATGTTGATACTTGATTCAAATAAATAATTTTCTATATGCAAGATTGCAAAGTCTACTCAGTTAACATCAAAGCAGAAGAAAACTCACTTCTTGTCGGTTGATTTGTGTTATCAACCAAGAGGTCCCTTACCTTCTCATTATAGACTTCTAGCATACTAACACACAGCTCATATCGCATTGCAAAGTCTAGTCAGTTAACATCAAAGCAGAAGAAAACTCACTTCTTTGTCGGTTGATTTGTGTTATCAACCAAGAGGTCCCTTATCTTCTCATTATAGACTTCTAGCATACTAACACATAGTTCATATCTCATGAAGCCACCTCTATCTTTTGAAATCCGAAACAACTCCTCCAGAGTCCTGTAGTTAACACCTCTGTTTTCAGGAGTACCCTCCATCGTAAAGGTCTTGCCAGTTCCAGTTTGTCCGTAGGCAAAAATGCAGACATTGTAGCCATCCAACACCGAAGTCACAATAGGTTTCGTTTGAGCAAAAACAGCCTCTGCACATTTGAAAAGCTCAATATGAACGATTCAAAGTCTATCTACAAGTTATTCATCCTAACAAAATCAACTGCTAAGTATTAGGCAGTGCAATTACAAAATCAGTATGAGTTCTCAGGTACCTTGATTGTCCTCAGGTCTGAAAACATGGTCAAACTTGAACTGCTTTTTGGAGGAATCAGAACAAATGACCTGTAACTCATTGTCTAGGGAGGATTCGAATTCAACAACGGAACCGGATCCGCTTGAAATTTCAGTTTGATTCAAGGGTCTACATCTGCAGAAAACTCGGATGTTGCCTTTAAGCTCAATCATTTCATTGTATAGTCTCTTTCGCTCAGACGACTCATCTAGGTACTTCTTCTTTAAAAGTTCATGTTCAATACCTAGATATCCAGAAACAACAAATTACAATCAACAAGAGAAAGAAAGTTAGAAAATAATCGTGAGTGATCAAAATAAAAAGCTCACTTAGAAGCTGAATGGTGTTTAGAACTGCAGGGTCTGGAAAGGAATTCGTTGTGAGCTTGACTTCGACAGACAAGGCAGTGTGCTCTCTCTTCAAATCCTAAAGAATAAGAACAAAACCGAAAACGTTTATTGCATTTGTCGAAAGATTCAAAACAGAAAGAATATACAAATGCTTCCATTCACTTTCTAAGCTTTCCTCAAAGTGACGTAAACAAAATACAATGCTATATTCAAGAATCACCTGAATTTTGGTAGTCAAATCAGTGATCTTCTGCAAAACCGGAAGAACCATCTGACCTGGAGAACCTTCTTCAGTTCCCTTCGACGTGCTACTCTCACCAATCAAATCAGAATCACCATCGGCGGGTTCGGTAGCAATATCTGGAGTACATTCTGAAAACAATGTTATACTTACAGCCTGAATTAAACGACCACTAAAAAAATTAACCATTTCCATTTTCTTTACAACTCAATTACTCAATTGAAATTCAGAATGTAACAGTTCAGTTGAAAGCATTCCCAATTTCTATTAAAAAAAATATTAAAGATTGAAAAACCAAGAATTCCAGAAATTACCCACCTCTGTTGCTCACGTCACTGTCCAACTGGGTTGTAATTGTCTCTAGGGTTTTAACTGAAGAAAAAGAACGAAATCGGATTAGAAAATTTCCCAATTCTACATTTTCTAGGGCTGGAAAATAAAATTAAAACTTTAAGAAGCATTACTAATCGAATCCAAACCTCAAATTCAACGTTTTCTTGTAATTCAAAAAATAAAAAAGGGGGCAAATTGAATTAAATAAAACAAAAACACAACCTGCGCCAGAGGTCGAAGAGGACTTGGAGTCGTGATCTGGAACGACGTCTTTGCAGATTTGGGGGAACATTTCCACCGTTTGATCTGAATTAAAGCAGAAAACTTTGCGATTATTACACGGCTCGCTCGACGATTTAAGAAGAAATTAAATAAAAAAAAACATGAAATAACTGAAGAGAGAGAGAGAGAGAGGACACTCAGGAGAGTACCTTCCATGGATTCGAATCACAGCAAGAACGCGAGTTCTAGAAGAGAGAGAGGGGGTAGTGAATTTAGACGAAGATCTCAGAGAGCTAGAGAGAGAGAGCGTTTGCTTTCAGGACCGGAGGGATTTGTGAGGGTGGGGTTTTGATTGCATTGAAGTTTGAATTGAGTGAATCTGCGCCGTCGGTTTAAATGGAAGGGAGCTCTTTCTTTCCAACGGCTATCAAAATTTTCTCGGTGGACCATATCGAAAATGGCCCAATAGGCCTAGTCAGTGAGAAGGAAAAACAACGCGTAGTTTCACGTTGTCGCCTAATAAGATGCAACACTAATTGCAAAAGGTAAATGCTAGTGGACAAAAGGGGTGTGTTTTCTTCTTACACGTCGTCCGCTTATTAATATCGGTCATTTGATTTTCTTTAATTCAATTTGATAGATGAAAATTAAGAAGGTGAGTGAAAAATAAAAATGAGTATCAGTGGGTAACTCAACCTCTACCACACATTTCCCCAACTCGATCTCCACCACACATTTGCCCTTATATTCTTCTCACTCTATGTTCAATGGCTGTACTGCAATTTCACTCACCAAGTCTTCTTCAAGAATTCCTGCCAAGTTTGATAATGACACGTCCCGACCCTGATATTACCCGAATACCAGGATAAGCACGTGCTGGCCGACACCCGAGGGTGACGAAAGCCATTAATTGATACAAAAGCTAGGAATAAGAAATAAATACGGGTTATGAATTAAAAAAAAACAATGAATTAACAATTTAGAAACGTGTTCAGAGCATACAGCTAAACCTAGTCACTAACAAGAATTAGGATAAGATTGAATGAACAAAGGAGTGGGTCCTACCCCGAGAGGACTCGAAGATGCCGCTGCGGAAGTACCTTAATGCCGGGATTCTATGCCTCGTTTCTAAGACCTGAATGGGGGCGCAAAACAAAGGTGAGTGGACCAAGTTTATATACATACGTAGTACAAAAACAGTTATGAACATACTAACCCCCACAGTTTAATTATGAAAACTACTAGAATAATAAGTGATAAGCTTTTCAGAAAATTCTAGCATGCCATAAAAACAATTCATATATCCATCTGCAAATCAATCTCAGAAAATCATATCAGAAATCATATCAGAAATCGTATCAGGAAGCATAACACAAGTTGTGCTGCTAGTGAGTGCACTGAATAACAATACTCCCGGCCCAATGCTTGCACCTCAGTCTCTGTGCCCGTAGCCAGAGATATCTCACTCCCGGCCCAATGCCTGTCTCCGTGTCCCTCAGCCTTTCGCTAGGGATTATTTCTCCCGGCCTCAATGCCAACACCAGATCCTCGCCCCAGGCGGCATAGTGTTCACTAGGTACGCACAAAACATAATTCATCTCTAAAATACAACTTCGTAGCATAAATTCATCGATCCTCTATACTACGAAGAGGTGTTCGAAAGTCATTTGAAACACATTCTTAGCATCCTATCGTCATCGATCAGATAGTCTACCAGAATGAGGGTTCTATAGAAAATACGATATAATGGAAATAATTCAAAAAATATATATATAATCACGTATAATCAAATCATCATGCTTCCTGTAAAGTATTCCTCAAATCAATAATTTTGCAAGGCATGCTATTAAATTATGCATTTCTATCAATAAAACATGCAATTTTCAAAGGTGGTCCACTCACAGATACTCCGAAGCAGCAGAATTGTGCGGAAAATGATTAAGGAAGTCTCCACTAGCAACTTCACCTAAGCACGAAAATGTACAATTTAATAAACTACCCAAAAGATAGAATTTTAGGGAATGGAAATGGCTTTTGGGTTTGGATAGGTTAGGATCAAGAGGTGGTTTGGGCTTGAGCCCAACACATACTCACCAAGGGATGGGTTTGGTTTAAATCGGTTCGGTTTTTGCCAAAACCGAAACCAAACCGAAATTTCGGTTCGGTTCGGTTCGGTTCATTTTTTTTTCGATTTTTTTCGATTCGGTTTTTTCCGGTTCGGTTTCGGTTTTTTGGTTTTTTTTTCTTTTCAAAAAATGAAAAACATTGAAATTTTAAATTTTAACATATCCAACACAATCATAACATAAACATTCTAACTAGAATCAAAGACAATGAAAATAAACATTTAAAATTGAACTAAAATCATCAATCAAGTCTTCCAAAGTCCAAACTAACAACCTCACAACACAAAAATCGTACAAATGACTTAGAAAAGTTAAATTGTATGATGTTGTTCAAAGATCAAGGTTGTTTGCTTGTAATTGCATGTTGACAACTTGATTAGTAAAAATAATGCGTGGGTGGATTTATTTAGTGTGTGTTAGATTCTTTTCCATCACAAATTACCCAAGTAATCTACCCGAAATAAATGTTTATGGATTCTGTTACATGTTATATGAGAGTAGATTTGGAAAAGAAAGCTAGGGCAGAAGTAGGCAGTGCTATGGAGATGGATGTAGGTACTTCTGGAGGAGGTTTGGTTCCGGAACCTTATATGGGGGATAAATAATAGGTTAGGGTTTAGAGTTTTTATAGGCATTTTTTAAATATTTTGAGCTTAAAGTTTGGCAACACATTGGGTTTAGCACATTTTAACTTACAAATTGGGTTTAGAAAATAATACCCAAAACAAATAATTAAATAAAAATAATAATTTAATTAATTCGGTTCGGTTCGGTTTAGTTCGGTTTTTAGATCACTAAAACCGAACCGAACCAAAAGAATTCGGTTCGGTTTTTTCAATTCGGTTTGGTTTTTTCGTTCGGTTCGGTTTTTCGGTTTCGGTTCGGTTTGGTTTTCGGTTTTTTGAACCCACCCCTATACTCACCCACACACACACACATGCAAAGCATGCACTGCACACACACACTTGCATATATATATATATACACACACAGAGCTTAAGGGGAGGGATCTCCATTTTTTGAAAAAAATGGGGATTAGGTGTGGGGCCCACTTCACATCAAATTTCAACGATCCGAACCGTCTATTTTGTTAGTCTCGATTCATAGATCATCCTTGCAAAAATTCAATTCAATCCGAAACCATTTGCCTATTTAATTATCAATATCAAATTTCATATTTTCTTATATAACAAAGTATTCGTTCATTTCCTTGAACCCAATTAGATGTCTTAAACATTTCCAATTTAGCTAATATTTTGCAAGGATGATCTATGAATCGAGACTAACAAAATAGACGGTTCGGATCGTTGAAATTAGATGTGAAGTGGGCCCCACACCTAATCCCCATTTTTTTCAAAAAATGGGGATCCCTCCCCTTAAGCTCTTTGTATATACACATATATAAACACACACACACACAACATGCATTAGCATGCGCTGCACCCACACATGCATATATATATATATATATCTATATATAAACACATACACACGCAGCATGCATAAGCATGCGCTGCACACACACATGCATATATATATATATATAAACACACACACATACATATACTTACACACCAGCACACACACACACTCCCACGCATGCACACATACATTCACACCAACACACACACTTGCATATATATATATATATACACATATATAAACACACACACATGCACAGACTGCATATGCATGCACTGCACACGCACATGCACACGGTACACACACACACACCTGCACCGCACAACACACACACCCATAATCACATACACACACGCACAGTATACACGGCATGCACAGCATGCTCACACACACACACAGTTCGCACACACACACACACGGACACACATACACCTACGAACTCGCCGGAGTTCGTCGTCGGAACTAGATTATTAGCATAGGGAAAAACTGAGATCGAAACCCTTGAGTTTTGTCATAAAACCAACATGCATAACCCAGAAATTTGAAGAAGGAACACAATCCTCACCTGGGTTCGAGTTTTAGAGCTTTGAAGCTCTCGGCTTCAATGGCAGAAAAACCCACGGTGCTCATATGGCGCATGCAAGGGTACCATTGAGTTTGTTAGGTCTCAAGGATTCCAAATATATGGTTTTTGGGGTTTGATTTGTGAGGGAAGTGAGGTGAAAGCTAGAGAGAAGCTCTCGGAGCTTAGAGAGTGTGAGAAAGAGAGAGAAGAAACCGAAAGAGAGAGAGAGAGCTGACTTTTCAGAAAAGAGAGAAGAAGGAGATGAGGTTCACGGGTTGAATAAACCTTGGGCTTAAGAAAATTAAAGAAAACTCGGGCCTTACATTAAAACACAAAGGGATTGGCCTGGCCCAATGTAAACTAGGTTATTTTTTGGGTCAGAGTTATAACAGATAAGTTCCAAGGTCAGACTCCCTAGAAAATTCTTGAAGATGCCACACCACCATCATCTGGTCCATTGCTTGAAGCCCTTGTAATGCACTTTTGTGCCAAAACATCGTAACGAAAAATCTAAGGAAAACTAATGAAAATGGCTTGAAAACTTTGAGTTTTAATGATAAAGACAAAATAAAGGGTAAAGTGAATAGTACCAGGATTGACTTTTTAGTGTAAAAATGTGGTTTTTCGTTAAAGTGAACAGTACCGGGTGCTTTTCGTTAAAGTTCCAAAAAATCTAAGCTAAATTTAGGTGTAAAACTTTTATTATGTTGTCGAAGTGTACTTCAGAAGTTGGCCGCTGCCAAATTTGTTCTCCAAGTGATCTCTGTGATGCTTTATCCGTTCAAAACTTGGCAACCAATCCTTGATACACCCAGGGACGAAACCAGAAATTTAACTAAGAGGGGGCATCTTAAACATTTTGAACTCCTTTTTTGGACAAATAAAGTTAGTTCTTTTATGACACACCCTAACTGGAGTCGAGGCATGCTGGCCATCACATGAGGGTGACGTAGTTAAGGGCGCAACAAAAGTGATACGAATAAAAGAAATGTGAATAATTAAAAACCAAACCTAAACTTATTTAACTAGAGATACTATGTAAGTGTGTGAAAGTGATCAAATATAAGATACATGCATATCAGAGCATAGGTAAAACGAAAGTGCAGTCGAACTAACTAAGTACTAATTATACAAACATGGAGAAGATCCCTACTTTTATTTAGTAGAAATCAAAACCGCAGAGTAGTCCTCGTGAGCCACCAAAGATGAACAACTACCTAGAATTGGAGGGGTGCAAAACAGAATGGTGAGTGGGGAAAAACAGAGCGTTTGAAAACATATTTAGCTTTATGAACATAATAACCCCTCTCCGTAAAACCCGTATAGTTTCCAGAAAATACTACTACATACGAAAAACCAATGCACAAGGCCAATGAAAACTGACGTATGCCATGTCATAATATTTCAGCACTAAAAGATGTAAGCCATGTGTGAAACCAATATAAAGTAGTATGCCAGTCAAAGTCACCTAACGTGACCTGTACGACTGGATCTATAACTTATCAACATATGTCTGCACATGAGTTGGAGTCACCTAATGGGACTTGTATGACAGGCTGGGTGTAAATAAGTACGCTCAAGTGTTACGATCACGTAAAAGCTGTGTGATAGATTGCGGGTCACCTACAAGTCGGAACCACCTATTGTGGTTTGTAAGACAAGCTAGCACCAAAACTTGGATCCAAGGTGAGCGTGTGATGCAAGAGGTAAACAATCACGTGAAAGTTGTGCCCTGGCCTCGGGCGGGAGCACTAACACCGGGGTGCAACATAATAAGCTCTAAATGCATAAATGCATAACAATATGCAATGCAACAGGACCAATCACATGCTGACTCACCTGAAGCTTACCTGAGCATCCGCAGCATCAAATAGTATAATTCAAAATTCATACTAATGCAACAATATAGTAATAAGCGGTATAGACATGGCATACAAGGCATAAATTCATTTCTTAAAAAATGCTTTTTGGAAATCGTAGAGCATATATATATATATATATCTATATAACAAATGCCCACTCTCTGATAAATAGCAGGATCGTAGCCCCCTTGTTTCGCTTGTCCACGCTCGTCCTCGGGGTACGTCTCACCTATATGCAATACAACTATTTTAATGTTAATTCAATAGCACATAAACAAAGCCTAGGATTAATTCCTCATACATTGCTCAAATGAGGTGTTTGAATATACCAACATGATATACTCGACAAAACACCCCCATATTTTTAGAAAAATATTTGGATGTTGGATGCGCCCTCATGCGCCGCCCAAGGCACGGCCAGGCGCATTGGCCACGCGCAGGCGCGTGCCTGGCACATGGGACAGAAACCCTAATGCCGTTAGGAATATTCCATTAAAATAGCAGAATATTCCGTTAAATTCTAACGGTGTTACCTGACTCCGTTAGGATATTCTGTTAACTTTGATGGAATATTCTTCTTCTTCTTCGGTGGACCTCGCCGGACTCTGCCATCCATCGCTGTCGGCCACCGTCTGGTTAGCCGGTTTCTGGAAAATTTTCAAAACTTAATATCTACTTCATTTCTCAACCAAAATCCATGAAATTTATATGGATTTGAAGGTCTTGAAGAGTAGAACACATTCGTACCTATTAGAAGTCCAAAATCCAACGAAAAATGGTCAGAAAATCCCTCGACATCTCCGGCCAAAACTGGAGTTCCTTGAAACCGTGTGATCCGATGTCAACGTAACCTCAAACCTACTCTAGAGTGCTAGGGAAGTTGCGCGGGAGCCTTTCCAAGTCCTAAAACCTTTTAATCTTACTGGGATCACATTGGAGAAACTTTGATGCTCGTCGGATCTTGCGAGTTAACGAGTTACAACTTACCAACTTGAAAATTGACGGTATCACTAGGTTCCTGAAGTAGAAAGGATAGTGATGGTGGTGATTTCCAGTTCGATCCGTGTTGATTCAAGGTGTAAGTGAGCTGGGGGTGCCTAGGGTGCAAGAAGAAGAAGGAAGAGGAAGTCTCGAGAAGGAGAGAGAGAAGGAAGAGTGTGTGTGTGTGTGTGTGTGTGTGTGTGTGTTCTGATTGGCTAAGAGAGAGAGCTAATTTTAATTGGCCCAAAAGAAGAAAAACAAATTATCTGATTGGGCTAAAAGAAATAGGAGCCCATATAATTGGTCCACGATTTGCCCATTTACGCACCTAAATAATCGTAACTTTTTCGTTACGGCTCTAATTCGGTTCTAACTCGCTTCAACGCACTCACGATGTCGAGTACGATTTAATTACAACAACGAAAATAATAATTTAAAACTGCATAGACACATCCACGTCACTTAGCCAACGAGGGCATATTCATCACTTTACACGCTCGAGGAGAAAATTATATAATAAATTGGGATGGGTCATCACATTGTACAAATGTTGAAAAAGTTAATTATAAAATACCTAATTTTATTACGCTATTGTCTAATTTTGTCTTTAATTGTTGACAATCTAATGCTCAGTTGTACTAATTAACCAAATACATGCAACTCAACAAGATTTAGACATTAGTGCGTGAGAAAAATATACAAGACAGAGGGGCATTTAAAAACTAAAAGATGATTTTCACTATTTTAATATGATTAATTGAATAATCTGCAAAGCAAAAAAAATGGGAATGATTAATTGAATAATTTGTAATGAAAAAAAAAGGATGAGAGGGGGCATGTGCCCATACTAGGCCTTACCTCCCTATGTCCATGGATAGACCACCAATACAAATATAAAGAAAACTCCGGTCCGTGGAAAAGGAAGTTGTTTTTCGTAAATTTTCTAAATCAGAAATTTTTTGTGACGACAATAGAATGATAGTGAATGAGAATAAGTTCCATATAAAAAGAAGGGATACTTCTCACTCTCATTCATTCCACCATCGTCACAAAAAAAAAAAATAATAATAATAATAATAATAATGTTTCTTTCAAAAAATTTGTGAGAGGACAACTTCCTTTCGTATGGACCGGAGTTTCTTAATATTTTTACTGGTGGTATATCCATGCTCGGTTGTCGAGTTATTGAGCTGGTACTGATAGAGTGTCACAGAGATCACTTGGAGAACAAATTTATCGGCGACCAATTTGTATTCAGGAGATTTTGGAGCTGTTTACAAATAGTAGGCAAGAGCTGAGCACGTGGCATAATCTATCCTGGTTAGGACTGTTCCATAGTTTATCGTAGTGTCGGATAAGGGCAAGGCGAGTGTCGACTTTGAAAAATCGACGTGGGTTATGACACGATGGTGGAAGGAACCGAACGTCAGATTTGAAAGGCACATCAAAAAAGGGTAGCCAACCATGTGGCTATCGGCTAGGTGTCTTCCCTGAGAACGGGGCTCGGAGGATGACATTAATAACGATGCTATGCAATCTCTAAACTCTTTTAAGTACCAGGCACCTGCGACCGAACCTGGGGACTTCTAATGCGAACCCCTCGAATGCGTTAGGCAAGCCTACATCTCCTATTTTGTTGAGGGTTACCGGGTTGGCATGGTGCTCAAAGTCTTCTTCGCGATAGTTAGAGGTAGACCCTTCCTCAAGAACAAACCCAATCACTAAAAACTAGGGGTGGGCACTTAGAACCGAAAACCGAAACCGAAACACGAATCGAATCAAACCGCACCAAACGGTTTGGTTTTGCGGTTTTGAAACGGTTTCGGTTTCAAAACCGAACTGCGGCACACAAAAAGGTTTGGTTTCGGTTTTGGGTTTTCAAAACCGCACCGAAACCGCACCATATAATAAATAAATGTTATATAACTTATATTTTAAACTTTTCAACTAGGTTATAACTTATAGGTTTGCATTATGGCAAACTTAACCTTTCAATTGGATTGTAAAGTATTGTGATTGGTGATCAAGTTCAATTTTAGTAGATGTCATGCATAAGGATTTAAAGTTTAAATCCTTTGATGCATTGGATGTTGTCTCAATTTTAGTAGTTGTCATTTGTTGCAGTTTTGGTACAAGTTTGGTACAAGTTAGCTGCACTTTTGGTGCAGATTTTTTGTTCGATTTTGTGTAGTTTTTTGGTGCTGTTTTTTTATGCAGTTTTGCTGCATTATTTTTGGGTGCAATTTTGTGCAGTTTTGGTGCAGTTTTGTGCAGTTTTTGCTGCTGTTTTTATGCAGTTTTGCTTCAATTTTACTGCATATTCATTAGTTAATATACGAGGAAAATAAAACCGTCTTATGCATAAATAGGTGTATATTTTAAATTGTACATTTTTTTTCTCAAAAACCAAACTGAAACCGTTTGAAACCG